CAGACAAGTATTGTGAAAACAGGAAATCAACAATGACAAGAGAAATTTGCTAAATCAACATTTCGCTATTACGTCATTTACCACAATTTGTTAAAATTGCATGTTGCTTTTTGAACATGTTTTACAGTATGTCCCCAAAATGTTTTGGCTAAATTAAGATTATACATGTATGTCATTTTTGTCATATTTGCCGTATCATGGTTAATTTTGTTCAGATGCGGGGAAAAAGAAAAACAAACAGGACTGGGTAACCAGACTATAGTGAAATTGTTTCTACACTTTAAAAAAACTTTTGATTAGTGAAATAGAATGAAAAAGTTACTTAGTGTGCTTTTAGTCAGTGTTATATCTGAAATTATGTGGTGGTGGTGGGATGTCACACAATACCAGTAAAAGAAGTGATCAACTCACTGATTGACACATCTGATTTTGCTATAAATAGATGGACCCATGCCACCAATGGGACCAGGTTTTCATGATCAAGGGCCTTATCAGGGTGGTCCACCTCCAGGCCCGATGCGACGTGGAAGTCCAAGAAGCAGAGGTCCTCCAAGAGGTAGAGGATCAATGCGAGGGAGAGGGGGACGAGGAAGATATGACGATTATGGCACATCAAGAGGTCGCGGTCCAATGAGGGGAAGAGGAAGAGGAAGGGGTAGAGGTATGTACACTTTTAAGATGATATGTTTTTCATTTGCATTTCACTTTTTGTGAGATAATCAAGATCTACTACTCTTATTTTTACCTTCAAGTTTTCCATTTGGAATGGAGTAGGATTTCAACTCTTAAAATAGAACAACTAACATTTGAATAATTGCAGATTTGGATGCTGCTTTTAATGTCACATGGTGCACATTGGATTATTGTTGGACAAATGACTGTGTGTACTGTAGACATTTTGTATTTATGTAAATGAGCCGTTGTATTGACATTGTCAAGTGGAGCTTATTATATGAGTGATTGTCCGTCGCCGCCGTTCGTGTCAACTTTTTACTTTTTTGAAAACTACAATTCTTATTGCTTTGATACTTGTTGTATATGTACCTTTGGCAGACCTCTCTTAGATTTGTTCATTTCGTGATGATATCTTTAATTCTCTAATTTTGATGAATATTTTTGTCATTTTTGGTCCGATTGACTTAATGTTATACATGTAGGTATCTCAGATAGACCTCTCTCAGATTTGTTCATTTTCTAATGATATCTTCAGTCCTTTAATTGAAACGTGAATTGCGAGCTATGGAGTTATCTCTAGTGGAGCTAGTGCCAGTGGAGCTATCTCAGCCGAGAGGCTGCTTGTTTTTATTTTTGAGTACCAGTTTGTACAAGTCACAGCTTATTAGCATCTAATTATGATGTGGTTGTGGTCAAAAACTTGTTTACAAAGTGCTAACCACAACAGAGGCATTCACAATTATAAACACACTAATGCATTCAAATTCACAAAATGAAAGTTTACATGAAGACACACAAAATACGGATTAGATATTATAGCATTTATTTATTTTCCTTCCAGGGTCAGATGAAGTCTGTTATCATTTCATGTCCGACAGAGGATGTCGCTATGGCAACAGCTGCATGTACTATCATCCGCAGAAAAATGGACCTTCACAGGCACAAGAATAAAAAACAATTGCAATGCTTCCATTGGTAATGTGGAGAAACCTGAAAGGTCTCTCTCCACGCTGGTAGCACACTCTACTAACATTAGTGGAACACCCTGCAACGGGATCTCAAGATTAAGACTGCCATGAATGGGTGATATACTGAAAAGATCACCATAGAAACTATTTTTTACCCTCTTTTTCTAATGTTTTCACCTCAAAAGACTGTAATTATTGATAATTAAATTATTTTGATATCAAGCGAGGTGGATGTACAATCAAAAGAAGTTGCAACTTTTTGCAATTATTTATTTGGGATCTTCTGTTTTTCTACTGTACATAAAGAGTCAATATATTTGTAATAAAACTGAGGAACAAAAGATACTGGAATTATTATTTGCTTCAGTATTTACCAAATATGATATAAACAATGCTTGTGATGATGACCTTGTCAGATGACAAGTTTTGTGAGCATGTATAATTTATTACTAAAGCTTCATCCAATTTTACATGTTTTATATTCATGTAGTTGCAAGGAACTGAGAGTTCAAATTTAAGTGTGTGTATGATACTAAGTTTACTGCAAGATATTTGGACTACTTATCTCTATGATGAATTGCAGTGTTCATAGGAATACTACCCATCTTCCCAAACATTATTTCATTAATTTGGGAATACTTTCACAAGTTGACTAATTAGGGAACTGTTGTAGTTTCAGCACGTGTGATCAGATTTAATTTAATCAGATTTTCGTTTTATACAAGTGAGAAAAACAAATCGTGTGAATGAGTGAGACAATATATAAAGGTGGAATGTTTACTACAATATTTATCATACTTCAGGCTTGGATGTATGATTGCTACTGTGCATGTCTGCAACAGAGATGTTTACCATGTGTAGGAAGATTATGTTGAGTGAAGATAATAGAAAAGAATGAATGTGTTTGGATGTGTGTAACAAATAGGCAAGAACATAGTGATAGTAAGCATGGATGGGACCGTGTTTGTGATGAGATTCTGGAAACCTGTGATATCCAGAACAGCCAAGGTCGGTGCAAACATGACTGGAACTATTATTAATGGTGTGAGTCCGGAAACATTGTATTCAAAATGGGTGTGAACATGTCTGGGACCAGGATTGTTGGTGTGAGTCTGGAAACATTTTATATCTAGAAAAGCCATGGTGAGTGTGAACATTATTGGCACCAGAATAATGTGGTTTGGAATATGAAAATATGGTATCCAGAATGGGGTGTGGCAATATCAAGACCAGTGTTGCTGGTGAGAGTTTGGAAACTGGTGTCGCGAATGGCTTAAACATTACTAAGTCTGGAAACGGTTGGTATTTGGGAGAGAATCTGGAAATATGTGGTATCCAGAATGGATGTGAACATAGCTGGTGCGTATTTGGGAGAGAGTCTGAAAATGTGTGGTATCCAGAATGGATGTGAACACAGCTGGTTGGTATTTGAGAGAGAGTCTGGAAATGTATGGTATCCAGAATGGATGTGACAGAGTCTGGAAATGTGTGGTATCCAGAATGGATGTGCCCACAGCTGGTTGGTATTTGAGAGTAAGTCTGGAAATGTGTGGTATCCAGAATGGATGTGACAGAGTCTGGTTGGTATTTGGGAGAGAGTCTGGAAATGTGTGGTATTCAGAATGGATGTGAACATTCCTGGTTTGTATTTGGGACAGAGTCTGGAAATGTGTGGTATCTAGAATGGATGTGAACACAGCTGGTTGGTATTTGGGAGAGGGTCTGGAAATGTGTGTTATCTAGATTTGATGTGAACATGTGTGGTATCCAGAATGGACATGAATACAGCTGGTTGGTATTTGGGAGAGAGTTTGGAAATGTGTGGTATCCAGAACGGATGTGAACATAACTGGTTGGTATTTGGGAGTAAGACTGGAAATGTGTGTTATCCAGATTTGATGTGAACATTCCTGGTTGGTATTTAGGAGAGAGTCTGGAAATGTGTGGTATCCAGAATGGACATGAATACAGCTGGTTGGTATTTGGGGGAGAGTCTGTAAATGTGTGGTATCCAGAATGGATGTGAACTTAGCTGGTCTGTTTGGGTATGAGAGTCTGGGGATGCATATTATTCAGATTCTCCGGACCAGAATGAATGAGAATTTGGCTGTTACCAATACTGATGGTGGGATTCTGTCTGGAGACCTCTGGTGGTCTGAATAGTTGGACCAGAATGAATGAATAAGAACATAGCTGGGATAAACGTTTAGAAAATGTGGGGTGTTAAGAATGACCCAGTAATGGCAGTTGGAGTCTCAAGACATTGGTGGTCTGAATGGCTGAAACCAAGAAGGGTGAGAACATAGCAGTGTGGTATCCAGGATTGCCAGAAATGTTGTGCACATGGCTGAGACTTATTTATAGTGTGAGTCGTTGTGTAATATGGACATAGAGAGTAGAAGGAAACTGCAATTATGATGGTGAACTTGGCAGTGATTGGGCGCAGATTGGAGAATGGTGTGTGTAGATTTGACTGGTGGAATAAAAGACACTTGCAATTGTGTAATTGAGATGTGTATGGTGGCATGTCATGGGGGGGATATCGTGACCTAAATGGTGTGGAAATGCGTAAATGTTGATCGTTGCCTTTATTGTACAAATACATTTTAGACAACGGAGATGTACGTCTCGATTCTTTCTATGCATGCTTCCCAGTAGAAACAATTTCGATGAACGTACTGACTCACTTAAATTGATGTCTTTGTGGACACGAAACTATATTTGTAAATCGAGAAACCCACCAAACATGAACAACTGTGCAGT